ACCAGTTTATTTCTTCTGAACAAACCGCCCTGCATTCCTCAGAGCCTCAACACTTTGTTATCAACTCCACCGTTGAAAACAGAGCGAGTGAAATAGAGCAAAACCACCTCCACAACTATGCCCTGTCCTATGCCGGCAGCGATAACATCGTTCTGGCCTCTAAAGATATGTTTGGGCCCAACAACCGAGGGATAGACAAAGGCCTCCAGTGGCACCACCAGTGTCCAAAGTGCACGAGAGTATTTCGGCATCTGGAAAACTATGCTAATCACTTAAAGATGCATAAACTATTTATGTGTCTGCTCTGTGGCAAGACATTCACTCAGAAGGGCAACCTCCACCGGCACATGAGAGTGCACGCAGGCATCAAACCATTCCAATGTAAGATCTGTGGGAAAACGTTCTCTCAGAAATGTTCCTTACAGGACCACCTCAACCTGCACAGTGGGGACAAGCCCCATAAGTGTAACTACTGTGACATGGTTTTCGCCCATAAACCCGTTTTGAGGAAACACCTTAAACAGCTGCATGGTAAAAATAGCTTTGACAATGCCAATGAGAGGAACGTGCAAGACATAACGGTGGACTTCGATTCGTTCACATGTAGCGCTGCTACAGACAGTAAGGTCTGTCAGCAGGCTGATGCCAGCCAGGTACTGGATGCAGGGAAGCTGCCTCAGGCTGTGCTCAGTTTAAGAAACGATAGTACCTGCGTCAATTAAGCAATTAAAACCTGCCCTGTGCAGGGATCATGACTGAGAGGAGCAAACCATTGGTTTGGGTTCTTCCCCAAACTAGTAGTGTGCCCCGAAAGGCTACGGATGGTTGGATTGCAAAACCTGGCAGGTCTTCATCCATCATTCTTAGTCGTACTTGATATTTTCTGTGAATAGCAATCCTCCTTCAGGTTTCTGTCTGTGTCTCTACTGTGGATTATGGGGTTAATTATTTCATTTCTCTCTGATTAGGAGACTCAAGACTAACACCTTTTGAAAGACTGTTGCTGTGGGCTGCAAGTAAACCATCTGCTGTACAGTTAGAGGCCTCTCTGTGTCTGGGCAGATGGAGGAAAGAGCAAGGAGGACAAGTCTGAGAGAAGCCGTTTTTTTTTTTTTAAAAAGCACTGGATAACTGAAAACACTCCATATACTTAAATTTAAACTTACCTCTTAAAATTACCTTTCTCTGATCTTACCCCTAGACTCCTACAGTTAAAATGAAGTATTTTTGTGTCACTTTTTTGCCCTTTCTAAACTTATTTCAAGAAACTTCTGCTGCCAATCAATGCTCTCTTAATAGCTCTCAGGGTTTTTAACCTCAACATGCATTATGAAAAGATGAAACCCTAAATGATTTGGCAGGGTTAGCTGATCATTGCATAGAGCTCTTCAAACTGAGGATAAACTGCAGCTCTGGAATGTGAGAGGCTGGTGCCTGGAGTGCAAGTATGACCCATTTCTTATGCTGGCACACCTGGGATTTTTAAAGGGCACTCACCAGTGCATGTACTGAGACAAGCTAAACACTTCAAAGCTAAGAATTATCATCCATCTTCCATACGTTTTGCAGCACAAAGCACAACAGCTGTTGGGTTTAAAGCAAAGCTGGAGTGGAGAAATACTGCTTTTTGACACTGTGAAAAGAATCTGTTTTTAAAGCTGCAATGTGTAACAACTCCATGCTTTTTTTTTTGCCTTTTTTTTCCCCCCTTAGTTCTTGTATGTCTCTCTTTGATGTCTAATAAGGGCCACATGTCAGTTAACTTGAAACAAAAATACCTGCTATAAGAACTTAAGCAACATAAAGTTTTTTGATTTCTTGGACATTTTTTGAAGTGACCTGCATAGTTCACGACCATTAGTGTTTTACAGAGCCTGGGATGAGGTGTAGGTAGCACAATTTCTGTAGGTTAATATATCAGCTATTGACTGTACTCAGCAATACCTCTTGTATTACCGCCTTAAACATCCAATGTAGCGGGAATGGCATGTTCATTGGGATTCTGGGATTACACTGTATTGCTTCTCAAAAGTGCCGTGGAATTATCCGCATCCCAGTCGGGCTGAAAGCAGCTTAATGTATCTGAGGCACACCATTCCCAGTAGAACAGCACTCTTAGTACACTGAAGTGTAGCATAGACTAATAATCAAATGGCTGATCCTCGGCAGAGAACTGCTGTTTGTGTTTGGAATAAGTATTTCTTCCAATGCAGCTCTTTTCCACAGGGTTTGCCACGAGGCTGAGATTATGCTTCCTACCTAAACGTAGTACTGTCAGTGTGTTTGAATGAGGGGTGGGGGTGAAAGGCTGCTATTGTGTGGTTAAAAATGCTAAACAGGTATGACCAAAGGTGTGTTGGAGCAAAAAGCGTTTCTCGTATGTCATTATCAGAAGTTGGTCTTGCTCTTCAGTTCTGTGTGTGTGGAAGCCAGGATTTCCTTACACAGACAGTTCACTGATGGACGATAAAACGTGTTGATGTTGCAGAAAGTTTTCAGAAATCCACATACTTTGAAGTAGAAAAGGAAGGTGATTCTGTGAATCGGTTTTTGCAATTGAGTTCTTGAACTACTGTACTTGACTGTTACACGAACTCTTACATGGACAGCTATGAAGTAAGCAATGGAAATGGCATCAGGGCATTCATCTTTCAAGTTGTAGCAAATATATTCAGGCCTAAAGTCTAACTATATGAAACTTTTTAAAATTATTGTTCAGGTTCCTGGGGCAGAAAATAGGTTTGCATGGGAAGAACTGTTTTTCCTCTTAAAGCCACCTGCTTTCAGAATTGTTTTGAGCTAAATTTGATCGTGACAGTTGCATCTGACACTTGCATTCTGCCTTCAGGCAGAATCTTCTGTATTGTGCAAACGTTTGGATAATCTTATTCACTGTATGGAAAAAGTTACAGCACTAACGTCAAAATGAAGATAGACATGGAGAACAGGAGCTTGCAGAGCCAGGTCAACGTGCTGGAAGGTACTAGTGAACAATCCAACCCAGTATGAATATGGATGTGAAAAAGAAAATGGTCTTCTGCCAGAGAAAGGAATAAAACTGTACAAATGCTAGAAAGTGGCAGCAAAATGGACAGTATTGAAAGTTTTGTCTATCTGGGAAGTATTGGTTTTTTGTGGATTTATGAAGCTGTAATATTACTGTAAGGAAAATACAGCTTGTTGAAGTAGCTGTGGGTGATCTGAAGCCGATATGAAGAAACAAGAGGTTTCCTAAGAAACCACAAAAAAATTTTTGGGCAAGATATGTAGGTTTTTAATCCACCCTGTGCTGTGGTGATTTGAATGTCTGAGAAGGCCAAGACTGCTGGTGGTTCAGTTAAAGGCTGCTGTGGAAAAAGCAGAAGCGCAGAAGACTTTGGTCAATGACAATGGACACATCTGTTGGATGAAAAGTGACTTCTACTAAGGTCTGTGCTTTCAGCCTGGCAAAAGGGTGCAGACCAAAAGATTTATGCAGGAGATGGCTGCATGACTCCAGAAACACTGGAGATCTAAGGGCACTGGTGGTAGAGTTCATCTAAGATTTGCCCCTATATGGAAAGACAAGTGAAGAGTATAGAAGAGGTACTAGAAAAGAAAAATGTGGCTAATGCTTCTTCTCTGAATTACAGATGCAAATGGAGTGAGAATTACTATAAATGGAATACGCAGAGGCAGCTCGGTTATAGAAGAAGATGAACTTAATTGTCCATGTATGTAAAATGTTGTCTTCATTGCAATGTCCCGAGTAGTGAAAGACTAGATCCATTGGTTGTTGCTACTGATGCTGCATATTCAGATGAGGACTATGGCAGTTATCATAATCTGTGTGTTACTGTGTAGAATACTATTTGCTGGTAAGTGGATAGTCTCACAAGTTAATGTGCTGTACAACTTCCTGCATGTCCTAAAAATAACTGAAGTCTATTACAAAAATATTTTAATAACTCCTCAATATATTAGGATTTTTTTTTATGTTGGCATTTTATTTATTTATTTTATATAGAAGAAGGAATTCTTAGAACTCTTAGGTTTGCCAGAGGTTTGGGCTCACCACTTCTCTGAGTGGTTGTAGCTTGTGTAGCACGTGTTCCTGCAGCACCCGCTGCAGCTGCACAGCCTCCTGCATAGATCAGGGACGAGTGTTTCCTTAATTTATTTTTCTTTTAGAACACAGGTTTTGCAAGTTAGTTACTGATAAAATTGAAGTGTCAGTCTTTTTCTCCCCTGGCTTTTTGGCAAAACTTAGCTGCCGCTGAACTGTTGTTGAAATAACTGAAAAATGAATTTTGTGGGGCTGATATTGGTTCTGGAGTCGTTGGGAGGAGTAAAAGTGAGGAGGGAGAATCAAAATGTGATACAAACCGAAACTGTTGAGAGAATTCGAAAGTCACGCTAAATGTCGATTTTTAAAAAGAGGGGGAAATAGTGGTGCCTCCTGACTTGGCAAGGGGTGAGAAGGCAGGACGGAAGGACGTTTTTCCTTTGAGATTGTATAATCGATGGACTGAGCATTAGCTACCTCTTCAGTGACTGGGCAAAAGTCTTACACTACGTGTGATAACCAAAGCAGGCGGGTCGGCGGCTGCCGGGCGGTGTCCCGTGGCCGGGGAGCAGCCAGCAGCTCGTCCGGGCGGCGGTTCTCCGTTCTCCCGGCACGTCCCGGCTGGTGGCGAGGAGGAGCCCCGGCCGCCGCCCCCGGGATGCCTTACGGGGGCCGACGCGTCGCTACCTCTCCCGGCCGCGGGGCGAGGCGCGCCCCGGTGCCGGTGCGGTGTCCCCCGGCGGCAGCCGCTGTAGCAGTGCCAAGTCTTCTAATAAACGTGCTGCTAACTCTGTGTGCCGCCGCCTCTCATTTCCAGCGCGGGCACGGCGCGCCGGGGGCGGGCGGGCGGAAGGGGCGGGCGGGGAAGCGGTTCCGGGGCGCTGCGGCACCGGCGGGGATCGCGCGGGGGTGCGGGGACCGGCCGGTGAGCGGGGCGCGGCGGGCGGGCCGGGAGCCCCGGACAGCGGGCCCTGAGCCCCGGAGAGCGGGTCCTGAGCCCGGGACAGCGGGAGCGGGTGGGCAGGGCCCGGGGAGACGCTCCGGCGGCGGCCGCGGGTCCCGCCATGGCGGCGGACTCGGAGGTGCTGCACTTCCAGTTCGAGCAGCAGGGCGATGCCGTGCTGCAGAAGATGAACCTCCTGCGGCAGCAGAACCTCTTCTGCGACGTGTCCATCTACATCAACGACACGGAGTTCCAGGGGCACAAGGTGATCTTCGCCGCCTGCTCCACCTTCATGCGGGACCAGTTCCTGCTCAACCAGTCCCGGCAGGTGCGGATCACCATCCTGCAGAGCGCAGAGGTGGGCAGGAAGCTGCTGCTGTCCTGCTACACGGGCGCGCTGGAAGTCAAGAAGAAGGAGCTGCTGAAGTACCTGACGGCCGCGAGTTACCTGCAGATGGTTCACATCGTGGAGAAGTGCACCGAGGCTTTGTCCAAGTACTTGGAGATCGATGCTTCCATGGAGAGCTGTGCCCAGGATGCAGAGGGGTGCCACTCCTCAGATGCTGAACTGAGGAATGGGGATGAGGCTTTAGATAAAGACTGTGAAATAATTGAGATTTCTGAAGACAGCCCAGAGAATGAAGAATACCCGGTGAAGCAGGAGGAGGGGGATGGCTCACGGCCCATGGCACAGAGCTTGGTGTCAGAAAGGAAGGACACAAAATCCCCAGAAATATCAACAGTGGAAATCGGGTATAAGGATGATGAAATCTGTATCTTCAGAATGGATTCTGTGAGTGTAGCGAATGTAGAAAATGATCATTTTCCTCAGCCTTGCACTTCCTCTAAAACAAATTTGTATTTCCCAGAAACCCAGCACTCTTTGATAAACTCCACAGTTGAAAGCAGAAATACAGAAATGTCAGGAAATCACTTCCAGGCTTTTGTCAGTGACAACCCAGAAGGAACTTCTAGCGGGGTAAATGGGTTCCAGAGCCTGGAGGATTCTGGCAGCTCGTGGCGGCACCAGTGTCCCAAGTGTCCGAGGGGGTTCCTGCACCTCGAGAACTATCTCAGACATCTCAAAATGCACAAACTCTTCCTGTGTTTGCAGTGCGGCAAAACGTTTACGCAGAAAAAGAATCTCAACAGACACATCCGGGGGCACATGGGGATCCGGCCCTTCCAGTGCATGGTGTGCCTGAAGACCTTCACTGCCAAGAGCACACTCCAGGACCACCTCAACATCCACAGCGGGGACAGGCCCTACAAGTGCCACTGCTGCGACATGGACTTCAAACACAAATCTGCTCTCAAAAAGCATTTGACTTCTGTTCACGGGAGGAGCAGCAGCGAAAAACCAAACCTGAACACTATTACAAAGGTTAAAATAGACTATGATTGACAGCTGGGTGGCTGTGGAGTCAGGCTCCACAGAAAGCTCCTGGCTAGTGAAATTCTAGATGCAATTCCAGCTCCAGATCCCCATGTAACAGAGAGAAGCACAAACAGGTGACTGGTGATCCAAGACAGGCCTTGGGGCAGCAAACTTTGCTGTTCACTTAAGGTTGCTGTTGCTGTCAGTGAAAAAAAAAAGGTGTTTCCTAATTGAAAGTAAACTGCAAATGATGGGAAATTATTTCACACTTCTCTTCTATTATTCTGAGCATGTTCTGATCCCCCCCAATGATATTTTACATTCCTGATTTCAAGGGCAGGCACTGCTGACTTTCAAGCTATTACTGATACTGCAATAAGCTGAAGCCTGAGCCATGGTGTTGGTGACAACAGCTGAGGGAAGGGGATGTTTGTGTTTATTCAGTCCCATCCAGTTCATGGATCATTTATGGTGAAATCATCTCCTTCCTTGCCCAAACTTTGCTAGATCTTTCAACAGAAAGAAGGTGTGTTTTCATACCCAAGTCTGTGATGTTTAAGAAAGGATACACAACAAAAACTTCCTTACAAGGAAGCTTTCAAATCGCCTCTTGCAAATAGAGAATTGGTAAAAGAGAAGTAAACAAACAGTATTGCCTTGCAGTTCATTTATAACTGGATAGTCCCATGAGAAGGACTTGCTTTTAGTTTAAGTTTTGAATTTTTATAAACTTTCTTATAATAGTGCTTTTTTTTGTCATACCAGTGTTTTGCATCTGTATTTGAGTAATTTCAATTAAGTTTAGTCCTGTTTATTGAGTTGTAACATTTGCCCTCATTTTTTACAGATATTGGATACATACACTCGTGAAATTCAGCTGTGTGCTGTTGGGTAACCACAGTTTTAACATTGATTTTGAAAATTAGCAACAGCTTAGACATAGGGGTCTCATACTCTGATTCTGTGACACGGTAACACAGTAAAGATGTGTGTTTGCATAGGTGTGTTCGTGCTTTGTCAAAGCTCATTTTGGTTTCATTATGATCATGGAGAGCCCTGTGATGCAGAGTCTGTATCCTGAATGTGTCTTTGACTGGTACATGTTTCTTCCACTTAATGTGATATAAATAAAGAGTTAATTCAGTTGTTAATATGAGATAATGGTACTTACAATTAGCAAAAAGCAGTAGTTCTTTCTCCTGTCTGTATCACACTTTCCTTCAAGTTTCAGGAGTGCTGTTTTAAGTTCTTGCTCCGAGTCCAGACATCTGGCCTGAGTGCTCCAGAATCTGGCTGGTTCTAAAATCCAAGATAATAGTTTTTAATGTCAGTTCACAGGTTTCACTTTCCTCCCCTGTGTCTGTGACTGCACCAGCCACTGTTTGGGGTTTTACTGATCAGCTGCATGAGGGACTGGGTGTGTCCAAAGTCTGCCATGCACTCTTCTGTTACTGCCTGTTACAGGCATGGTCAGGTGTTCGTGTGGGTATTTCCCTCCTGGGCACTTCCCTGTGTGCCAAAGGGGAAGCAGATGCTGATCTTTTGAGGTGCATCTTCTGTGGGAGCAGATTGCGAGTTATTTTGGTCGTGCATGTAAACATGAGAGGGAGTTGTGTTGTGTGACAGGCCACCAGCATGTTCTGTTCAGTGGCTGCAGTGTCTCAGTGACCTTTGTGAACAAACCCTGGTCTTGTGCACATGTTCACATTCAAGGTGTTTCCTCTCCCCTGTCTGTACATGTAACATGTCCTGTCATAACACAATAAACGAAATGCAAACAAGGCATTGTTTCAGAAATACATCTCCTTTCTTCTGAACCAAGTTAACAATTCTGTGCATACCTTAACACTTAGTATTTTGGCTTTGCTATGGTGAGTAAACAAGATGTGAACAGAACACCGTGTTCCAGTGACAGTCATTTAGTAACACGTTTCTCTGCCCTTCAGAGGGGTCTGTGTGACCCACTTGTGCCATGAACTCTTCCCCCTCTGGAATGGCAGCTCTGCACTGTCGCTTTGGTTAAGAAACTGTTGATCTCTCAGTGCCCAAAGGAGAAAGGTGCATCCAGGTTGCTTCGGGGGGTGCCGTGATGGAGCCAGAGCCCCGGCTCTCCCAACACGGCCCTGGGCCCGCCGGCCGGAGCGGCCCCGGCCTCCGCCTCCTCGGCAAGGACAAACGACGTACGCCAGAGCCCGCCTGCACTCCTCTCATCCTCCTGAGCGCCAGCGATAGCAAAGTTATTAATTAAATATTAAAAAGGACAACAAATAACCGGCACTAGCGGCCGCGGAGCGGCTGACGCGACGCTGAGGGAGGCGCGCCGCTAGGCGTCGCTGGTGGCGCCGGGCGGCGCTCT